TCCCAGGAGCCAGATAGCCAATGCTCCAGCTACAGACGGCTCAAAATTCTTGATGGTTTTTTTCTAGTTGGCCAGATTGGGCAAAATAAAATCCTGCAGGCTCCCCGACTGGGCAAACTGGTTCCTGGATTCCATATTAATTTTGCCTACCCCTGGTATAGTAGAATGTGTAACCGTCTTGCTCCATCATCCTCTTGACGCACACACCTCCTATTGCTCCAAACATTGACTCACTTTCTGAACCATTGTTTATTTGGTGCAGATTTGAGACTTTTTTTTTTTTTGTGCAAAAAGTTTAATTTTTATTTTTATTTTTTTTACAATTGGTGCACTAGTCCCAACTATCTTTTCAAACCCTTCAAACTGAACTATTGTTTGGTGCAGATAAATAAAGCAGACTTCCCTATGCCAAATATTTGGCGTACTGACAATAGTTTATCTGGCCCACTATGGACTTAATTCACAAAGATATATGGGCTTAAAAGAGAACTAATGGGGTAAGTGTTTTTCCCCATAGTTCTCTTAAGGGTCACAGGAGGACATATACTATTGTCCTCCCATGACCCAAAGCTCAGTATATCGTGATCTACAGCTCGCGGTATACCGAGACCGCCGCAGCCGGGACGGATCCCGACATTACTGTCCAGATCCACCCAGCTGCGTGAGTGACAGCTGGCTCTCCTTATCTAGAGGCAGAGCCAGCTGTACCCGCCCCCTCCCCCATCCGTTCCTCCCGTCAGCACTGGAGGATCGGAGGGGGGAATCCCTGCAGGGAGCAGTGAGCGACAGTCACCTCTCACTACAGGGAGACGATCGAGAAGGGAGCGAGCGACGGTATGCGTTCGCTCACTTCCCGATCTATTGAGCCGGCGTGTGACAGTTTCATCGTCACACGACGGCTCAAACTATGAGGATGTGTGATTTTTCACTCCCCTCATAGTTCTCCTTTTAATTCACAAAGATAAGAATCTTTATATGTGACTGTTATTTTCAAATTTCATTGGACTTAGTTAAAAATAACGGTCATAAACTTTCCTTATTCTAGTTTGTAAGTGTTGTGAATTGAGCTTATTGTCGAATATTCCTGTTTCAATATTATTATTGTTTTGTAAAGTAACAGTAATCTGTCTTGAAAATAAAGGACAGTTAATTTGTTTGAATTTATGGAACATCAGCATTTTCAGGGATACAAAATGACAGTTAAAGGGTTATTAAACCCTGCTAGCAAGCAGTAGATCTATGCAAAAAACAAAACAAAAAAAAACCTGCTTTAAAAGCGGTTTAAACTTACCTGTGTCTTCCCAGCGCGCTCCCGTCCGAAATGTGAAAATTCTCAGGCAGCCGCAAAGCATCTTGGGGCGGGCGCATGCGCAGTTCACATTTTCGGCCGGGAGACGAGGAGAGACACAAGGTAAGTCTATGGATGTGTGCACCCGCATGCAGACACCGTGTGACAGGAAGTGCCAGCAAGGACAGAGGAGTCAGCGCCGGATCGGAGACCCGCAGCAGCGCTGGCTGGGGGGGGGGGGGGAGGGAAAAATATCGTTGACTTTAATGTCACCTTAAAAGTACAAAATGATGAGGCAGTAATACTGACAACCTTTTGTAGAGCTCACACCATAGTTCATATACTTAGCTTTCCATATTCAGTCACCTAAGTCAGCCTTTCTCAACCTGGGGTTCCTCCTGAGGTTACTAGGGGGTTCCATGAGCAGTGACAAATTGATCTCTCACCTACACTGGCCACCAGTGCAAGGGTCACATGTACCAAGTCAGATGAGAGCATGAGCACCATATAAATGTCAGAGTCCAACAACTTTGAAGACTCAAAAGCAGCACAGTTACCAGGCTTTGTTTGCTGCATGCGTGGGCCAATGAATCAGCAATATAGATTTATTGATCCACTGCACTTTGTCATATCTTATTTTTCATGCAGCAAACAGTTAAACCCATGTGGACTGTGCCACTATTGAGAACTCACATCTTTCCATCATACTTATGCCCTGAAGAATCTGGGCAATGACCGGGGAGACATTGAGAGTCATAAACTCTGCTACGGATGTAGATTTTGTGTTGTCTCTTGGTGAATAAATATAAATATTGAAAGCTGTTGGACGCTCCAATCTTTGGTGCTGTATGAAGAGGGCAATACGAACCTGATACAGCGTCTAACTCTTCCCTACTGCAAAATGTTTTGTCTGGAGTAACGCTTCAAGTTATTAAGATCATGCTGTATATTTAAACAGACTCAATAGAGACGTTCGATGAATTACACACTAGGGATTTGTGTGTTAATATATTTAAGCCATGCACTCGGTCTCTCAGCAATAAGGCTTTACAAGACTTAAACAACCGAATCAGTTGTCTCAGTTGAGTGCTGGGAAAACCTCCCAGTAGACATGCTGGATGCAGGTCCCCAACTCTTATATTTATGCTATAAAATAGCGCCCTCTAGTGACAGCATGTGGTACACTACTACATATCAGAAAATGTTAGAGGAACCCATCAATGTAATGTCTCCCAAAGCAGTTACTTTTTCTGGATGTTCTCCAGAACACCTAGGCGTATCGAATATGCGCCTTTGTTGCGCGTTTCGCGCCGCGTGTTTTTACAGCGATTTCCGATTTGGCGCGTTTCCGAGGGCTATCTGGCTGTATCCCAATGGATACGCGCGGCAAATACGCCCCAAAGAAGCTCCTGTACTTCTTTGGGCATAGGGTGTTTGGCAGCGCATTCCTACGCGCTGTAAAACGCCCAGGTGAGAACCATGCCCATAGGCAATCATTGGTTGTCACATGTTGAGCGTTTTGCAGAGCGTAGAAACGCGATGTAAAACGCCCGGGTGTGAACCAGGCCTTAAGGCATGCCGACTGCCAAGGTTTCCAGTGTGCTTATTATTTCAGCTGCCAGACAAACTTTCAAATCCCTTGGGTCATATCATAGCAGCACCATGGCAACTACAATCCAAATAGAGGCAAATATGGCACCTTCATTGGCTGCAAGGCATAAAAGATTGTAGTTCTGCTTTCAATAGGAACTTCACCACCCTCTTCTGCTTTTTTTTTTTTTTAACCCTTCTTACCTTTTAGGCAAGGGTGCCCTCAATTCACATACTTACCTGTCCAGCAAATCCAGTGTTGTCCTTAACTACACTAGTATTTGAAGAGGTTTTATAATTTCAGAGAGAAAATGACAATAGTAGCTTTAATTAAGCAGCCACCACAAATCCGCTTGAAACAGTAACCAGTGACAATTGGTGCATGGTAACGGTGGAGACCAATAGGTTTCCAAAGGTGGGCTGTGCTGCCAAAAGAAAGCCAAGCAGCTTTAAGGTGCCCATACACTGCACGATTATCGTACGATAATCGTATGCGATCGGGTTTTCGTACGATAATCGAGCAGTGTGAACGGAGACGTGCGACCGTTTCTACTGTACGGTCGCACGTCTTCTGTCGAACCAGCATGTTCGAAAACCAGCCGGGAATCGTACGATTCTCGGCTGGTTAGAACGGTGCTCGGAAGATAAATGCTGAACGGGCCCGTTCAGCATTGCGGTCATCGGAAGCCCGCCCCTCAGGGGGGCGGGCTTGCGATGCTCGAGAGTGCGATCTGCCTGTCCAAGATAGGCAGATCGTACGTTTTTTTAATCCCTTTACAACCATCGCAAGACTAAAGTCCTGCGATGGTTGTAGAGTGTATGGCCACCTTTAGAGGCAGTGATTACACAGCTGGTGCGGTTTCTGAGTGGGGCACCTTTGTTGGTCAGCAGTAGATTGGCAGGTAGAGTGGTCTTTCTCTGAAACTGTTTGGAAGAAAATACCATGTCCTACAATATTATGGGCCTGTAGAAGAAAATTAAGGGAGCCTGTCTTACAGTACATTTGTTCACAGTGACAACAGGAGTCAAGTTCAGGTATCCTGTGGTACAGGCAAGTCCTACTGCTGCTCTCATTGTCCTGTTTCGGGAATCTTTGACGAAAACAGTAACAACTGCTTCAATGGCCTAAGCCAGGAATAAGCAACCTCAGCACTCCAGATGTGGTGACAATACAAATCCCATCATGCCTCTGCCTCCAGGGAGTCATGCCTGTCGCCGTCAGTCTTGCAATGCCTCGTGGGACTTTTAGTTCCATAACAGATTGATTGTCAAGGTTGCCTAGCCTAAGCTATTTTGGACAACGCAATACTTATTATACAAAAGTTACACACTCTAGACCACCTTTAGCTTTGATTACGGCACGCATTCGCCATGGCATCGTTTCGATAAGCTTATGCAATGTCGGAACCTTTATTTTCATCCAGAGTTGCATTCATTTTTCACCAAGATTTTCTAGTGATGATGGCAGAGTCAGACCACAAGTCTTCTCCAGTATATCCCAAAGATTCTAAATGGGGTTAAGGTCTGGACTCTGTGGTGGCCAATCCATGTGTGAAAATCATGTCTCATACTCCATGAATCACTCTCACACTTTGAGCCTGATGAATCCTGGCATTGTCATCTTGGAATATGCCCAATGTGCCATCAGGGAAGAAAAAAATCCATCGATGGAAAAACCTGGTCACTCAGTATATTCAGGTAGGCAGCTGACCTCATTTTTTGGAGACATAACATTGCTGAACCTAGACCTGTTATCCAATGGAAGTCTCTGACCTATTTGCTTAGCTAAATCCCTTTTTGGACAGGCAGTGTGGTTTGGTATCAAAAGAGGCCCCATCCGCCTATCCATGTCCCTGTTTTAGAGAATGTTGAATTCAGCATTTGGGGAGGGTTTCTCTACTTTAGTGCAGATGCTTTCTTGGCTCACGCTCAGGGGTTCCAGTTATAATATCATATTATGCAAGATTGCTGATGATTTTGTTTTCTGAGAGGGAACCTCCCTAGTTTAATGCATCCTATTTTGTTCCTGCTCATGTTTTCTTAGTTTTGTAATATGCAGTTTGTACTGATGTTTGTTTTGAAAACTGAAGTGGACCTGTCCTCTCTCCGCTTGTTCTTGCAGGTTTGATAAGGGGAGAATCTACACATTTATTGGGGAAGTGGTGGTCTCGGTGAACCCCTACAAAAGCCTTCCAATCTACGGGAAAGATGTGATAGAACAGTATAAAGGGAGGGAGCTCTATGAGAGACCCCCGCACCTCTTCTCCATCGCTGATGCTGCGTACAGGGCCATGAAGAGACGATGTAAAGACACCTGTATAGTAATATCAGGTAATGTGTTGTGAATTCCCTGTACTAGTATCACTCTCGCCTATCCAATTTTATTTGTTCTTTATAATAATGACATCTGTATATTTTTACGTTTGGTGAACAAACACACAACACTGGTCCTCGGAGGCTGCCAATAAGCTGTATACACTGCAGTAGGGTTGTGCTGTATAGAGGAAAAATGGGGAGATACAAGGACACCTCCCCCCAAAACACAAAATGTTGTAGGCTCACCGGGATTATCAGCCTGGAAACGCTATATATTGCACCATGGCGTTTGGTATCTGCATGGAGTAGGTTCATTCCCCCTGTGTTTGTGTTTCTCCGATTTTCTCTTACAGTGACAATGCATACTGGTAGGTTTTATCTACAAAATTATCCCTAAAGCCCTACTCACTTGGAGGAAGCTTCCACGGATAATGTATTGTGAGACCTGGACTTAGCACTTCATTGCTGCAAGCTGTAATTAGTAGCTACTGCACGACCAATCTGTCCATATGCTTTTGTGTCTCTTTTTCCCTGTCCTATGCACTTATCCTTTGCTATGTGTTGCAGGGGAGAGTGGTGCCGGTAAGACGGAAGCCAGTAAATATATTATGCAGTACATAGCTGCCATCACCAATCCCAGCCAGAGGGCCGAGGTTGAGAGGTAAGACATGAAAGGCCAGTTCCAGGGAAATGATAAAGCTGCTAAATCTAAATTATTTATGTGCTGCAACTTGGAAAAAAATAGCACAATGAAGATGTAATAATATTAGTTTTGTCAGAGAAGGATTATGTCCCAGCTATCTCCCATCTGTCTTTTATTGAATCTTATTATCAGGTGCAATAATTGTATGTGCTGGAGGCTCATGATGTCACTGTGACATTTTATGGAACCCAGAGATGTTGCTGGCTTAGAGAGAACTGGCCACCTTTACTAAATGTTTGTTCAGTGTTAGAATGTCTGCTGTGTGTGCAACTGAACTGCACCCTTGTAGAAGGAATGCTAAAGCATGTGTACATGTGAGAGCATGTGTCAGGAAATGAGTCAATGTACCCACACCCCCCTCTCTGTTACACCTGCATTCTTTTTATTCATTTAACCTTACTGGGCAGTTGTGTGCACTCGGTGGGCCATGCTCTACTGTAGAAGTAGCGAAAGGGTAGATGATTGCAAACTGGGAGAGTGGTAGAACAAATGGTACCATATCACAGTTACATTAAAGAGACTTCTATAGTGATTTTCCATATCTTTTTTTTTTATGGTTAGGACTTGATGTGCCACTTTTAAGTTTAGTTATTTTTCGTCAGTAAATAATACATTTTACATATCAATATCCTGTGTTTCTATATGTAGCCAGCAGGTGGCGCTCTCCACATGTTTTTTGGGCTCTCCTTAGTGCCTTTGTTGTTTACAGAACTCAATAGCCCGAGCTGGAAACACTTAGTAGTAGTTTACAAATCCAAAGTGCTTTTGGGACTCCTGTGTATCCTGTTTTTTAAAGGTAAATTTTTAAAACAAAGAAAAGGAAACAAAAAAAATGTAGCTAGAGCTTGATTGTAAGAAGTGCATAATGGTTCATGATAATTTGTGACTGTATACTATTTAGATTTTCTGTATTTAATGTTCTACCTTGTGTAGAGATTCCTTTCTGTATGAAATGTGTTATGATGCCATGTCACTGCTTCAGGGTGAAGAACATGCTGCTCAAATCTAACTGTGTCTTAGAAGCCTTTGGCAACGCCAAGACTACTAGAAACGACAACTCCAGCCGGTTTGGAAAGTACATGGACATTAACTTTGACTTCAAGGGGGATCCAATTGGTGGTCACATAAATAACTACTTATTGGAGAAGGTGAGATGAAATGATAGCTACATATTGATTAAAGAGACACTGTTACTTTGCTCATTACAGTGTCTGTGAAAAGGCATACCTAGACGTACTGATACTCGCCCCTCCAGCGCTCGGCCACTGACCCCCTCCTCTACCTTAGCTATGCAGTGCTTACAGGGGGCGAGCATGTGACCTTTTTTTGCATGTGACAGCGCTGTTATCTGACAGACGGGGGGGGGGGGGGGGT